TGGGCTGAGGGGACGGGGGGCGCTGTGGGGGTGGGCACCCCTCTCGCGTTGCCGTCCGTTAGGAAGCGGTGGAAAGCGGTATGTTCGTCTTCAGGAGCCGCCTGTGTCTTCCGCGGTGTTAAAAGTTTTTCTTTTTTTCTGTAGGAAGGAAAGCTTTCACTTTAGGGGGGAAAAAATAGATTTTTCTGTCAGGAGTTGTCAGGTGAAATATTTCAACCAGCAGCTCCAGAAATCCACTTGGTGTTCAAAAGTGCTGAACATCAGCTACCTCCCGCTCTATTTGGATGCCTTTTTATGAATTTTGGCAACTACATACTTTGCTGTATCACTCTGCAGATGTGCTCCTATTAAAACGAAAAAAAAACCTTGGCTTTTTAATGTTTGATGTGTGTTTTATTAATTCCCTTGGCCCCACTCATTTGCTAGACATTCTTCTTCTTTGATCTATTGGTAACTGTTCATTTAGAAGGGGTATTCATCTGAGCAGGCTTCAATATTCTATCAAGGAATTCGAATAAACATAATTATTTCTTGTTTTCTAACACAGAGTAGCCGAGGGCTTTAGAAGTAGAAAAGCATGGGAAAAATTGAATTTCTGGGCTTCCTTTAGTAGGAGAGCTTTACAGTACAGTCAATAAATCTGGGCTTGTTAATGAAATGTTCATAGTAGCTACAATTAGGACCTCTGCTGACTTTAGTTTTGAATTAAAAATACATTTTTCAACGGACCTTTCAATATTACATATTTTGTTGCCAAGTTGCTGGGTTTGTTGATGATAGTTTGTGTGTGAACTCTGCCTTTCTTGAGTCAAAGAGCAGGGGTGTCACATAATGTCTGTTTAAAATGCACCCAGTGTTCACCAGTCAACAGATTTTTTGGCAAGTGAAATATCCTCATTTATTAATAGTGGCGGGGAAAAAAAGAAAATGTTTTCTGAACACAGGTAAGCAAAAATAATTTCACCACTTTTTTGGGGGGGTGAGCCTGTTTTTATGACTTTTAACCATGCGAGTCTGTTTGCCCCCCTAGGGAACTCGGTTGCAGAGGAGGAGGAATGGCGAGGCGAGATAGTGCCGTGTTCTCTCCCAGCCTCTGCCTAGCAGAAGGGGAATGTGCTGGGGAGTTGCCTGTTGTCTTGGAGCTGGGACCTGACTCCTCCCTGCCCCTGGAGTGGTGCAGGTGGGCCAGAGCACTTGCACCAGCACCTTGGGATAACTCTTTTTTTTTTGTGAGGACAAGTGCCTGAGTGACTTGGTTAACAAGCACTGTACTGTACTAATGAAGCAGTGACTAATACAATGCAAAGGATTCATTTTTATTTCTCCCCCTTCCCCCCACCCTGCTCTTAGGCTCTTCTTATCCCTGCTTTCCCCCCCCCCCCCAGTCCCTTCCAGTCTGTCGGAAATGCTTATACATTTTTTTCTGCTCCTGAAACTACGCTGGGCCATTCCCATTTTTATGTTGGGTTGCTGGTTTCTCTGTGTTATAGATCATCTTTGTCTGAAAAGCAGTGCAAACAGCACCTCCCAGTGCCATTCATATGCAGTATGTCATGTGTCTTGTCCCAGTACCTGTCTCATGAGGCAGAAACTGTGTTTCTCATGTTAGGTGTGATGCTGAATGTGCTAAACAAATAAAACTAGAGACGAAGGGAAAATGACCAAGAAACCATGGCCTCCAATTCATGGCTCTCTACAGGCCCCTTTCTGCAAAACTCCCATCAAAAGTCAGTATTTCTGTGCATCCAGTGCTGGCAGGACCAGACCCTTAAAGCCAGATAACCCTCAGCTCCCTGGTACAGCATTTATGGCATCAGTGGGGTGAATTCACCCACATTTCAAGGCAGAATGCATTTGTCTCTACTTTTTCCTGGCTTTTGTTCACCAAAAAAACCACATTAGCAGACCCACGTTACTAACTGCTTCCTGCTTCTGTTGTTTAGTGTTTTGCAGCTACCACGGCTGACCAACAAGCTGTAAACCTTGCCTGGTGTTTTGTAACAAAGGAAAAAATAGAATGATTTGTGCTGACTTTTGGCCATAGAGTATCATTATAGATCTGAGGGAGGGCGGCAGAGGAACGCGTACTGTGTATCTGTTGCTTGCCGATTTTCCAGGAAGGCGGTGGTAGGCAGCAGTCAGTAGAGGGCAATAGAGAAATACAGTTTGTGATACCTAAAGGATTTGAAGCACTGATTATGTGTTTACAGAAAAGAAAAAGAAGAAAAGAAGAGCCAGGAGGATAGGTTGTTCAGTTTACTACTGGAGACCTGACTGTGACAGACCACCAAGCAAATGAAATTTTCAAAGAGAGCAAAGACGACCTTCTGCAGCATCTGCGAGTCTCTCCTTTTTTCTTCAGAGCTACGTAGGATAACTTAGCCAGAACTTACTGATGACTGCATGTTCAGTGGGCTCGGGAATGGACTGGGAGATGCGAGAAGGCACTCTTTGGAAGGAACAGAAGAGGAGGCATTTCAAAGATCCTGCAGGTGACTGAGGTGAGCAAACTCACAGCTTCTCTTTCTGGTGAGATAATAGGTGTTCAGTCAGCTGCATAAAAGTCATGAGCGAACTGAGTGAGTGATTGAAATTATATGAGAATTTTGCTTTTTCAGGCATGCTGGTGCAAGACTAATTTTATCTTGGGAGAAAAAACGATAGTGATGCTACAAGGATAAGCATTTCTAAGCATATGTTATTTTGGAGACATGCTAAAACCGGTGACTTGTTTTATGTGTAATATTTTGTATTAGAACTGTTCGAAACATGCTCATCATTTTACAAGGTTTATGTGCTATAGTTCCTAGACTCTAGTTTACAGAGAAATATATAAAGAAGATGTGACTATTGTTCCTTTCGGAGAGGATTTTTGCTAAGCTTTTGGACAAATGTGGCTTGGAGGTTTGGAGAAATTTATTAAGCTATTTTGGATCCATGGTGGGAATGCTCTCAGATGCTTCAAAGGCTTTATTATCAGAAAGATACTGAGAAGTGATAACAAAGAATATAGCAATAACAAAAAGAGTTAAGCCACAGAAATCAAGGGGCTGACAGAGGGTTGGGAAAACAAGAGACCAAGTTAGGAAATAAGCATATGAAACACTTTTCTATTGCCAAGATCTCGGCTGGTGTCACCATAACACTTGGAAAATATCCTCAGGATGCTGGGAACCATTAAAGCAGTACAGATTATCAGAGGATAAACTTCCACTTCAGCTGCCACTGGTACCAGAAGTGACCAATAAGAAACGTTTGGGAAATGAAAGATGAAAAATGGAAGCATTGA